GAGCCGAGCCTCCCTATTCTTGGAGATGCAAGCCCACACCCCACTGTTGGTGACCTGTGGTCACACATAGGAAGGGTGGTGCCTGAGCCCTACACTTAGGCACCTATAACTGGTTCTCACCCTCCTGGACTGGGGCTGGGAGTCTGTGGAGACCTGTGTGTCTGGCCTGACTCTCTGACTCCTTAGTAAGGGTTGGGTGAGGAGGTTCTAAGGGAAAAGAGCCAGTCCCCAGCCTTTGGAATACAGAGCTCTTCTGACACTGAATTTTTAATGCACCTTGTTTTGTATAATAAATTGTGTTTCACAGATGTCCGTGCTGTGAATGGGATGAAAGGGAGGCCTTCTTGAGATAAGGTTACTTGTTCCTAAGAGCCAGGTGGAGGCACATGTACCTGGGGGGTAAGGGGAATGGGAACCAGGTAAGATCTCATCAGGCGCTAACAAGAGCCAGTAGCTTCTGAATGTACAGAGTTATTCTAAGACTAACAGCTTTGAGCTCAGGGTTTATCTATTCCACTATTTAGTGTAAGTTTTTCTTGTATGCCTACCACATACCAGAGGTTTTTAAGAGGTTATCTCATTTAACTCTCACAACTACCTCAAAATACAAGTCTTTATCATTTCTATTTCAGAAATAAGGAAGCTGAGGGCTAAGAAAGCTGAAGATCTTGCACAGAGCCACACAGCTAGTCAGTGAAACTGAACTTGAATTATCTTTGCTATCATAAGGGAATCTATCTCTTTGATTTGAGAAAAGTAACCAATAACTTTCACCTAGGACAAAAGAAAGATGTACCTTTCCTCCATGGAGGAGGTACCTATGCCTCCATGTAAATTAACTTTTTCAGTCTCATTTCCTTCAAAATTTTTTCACTTTATTTTTTTGAAACAGAATCTCACTTTATCACCCTTGGCAGAGTACTGTGGCATCATAGCTCATAGCAACCTCAAACTCTTGGGCTCACGTGATACATGTGCCTCAGCCTCCGGAGTAACTGGGACTACAAGTGCCCGCCACAATGCCTGGATATTTTTTAGAGACCAGGTCTCACTCTTGCTCAGGCTGGTCTCAGGCAATCCTAAGCTCAGGCAGTCCACCCACCTCGGCCTCCCAAAGTGCTAGGATTACAGGTGGGAGCCACCATGCCTGCCCTCCTTCAAAATGTTATTTATTTTTTTGAGACAGAATCTCAAGCTGTCACCCTAGGTAGAGTGCTATGGCATCACAGCTCACAGCAACCTCAAAGTCTTGGGCTTAGGTGATTCTCTTGCCTCAGCCTCCCAAGTAGCTGGAACTACAGGCACCCACCACAACACCCGGCTATTTTTTGGTTGTAGTTGTGGTTGTTCGGCAGGCCCGGGCTGGATTAAAACCCGCCAGCTCCAGTGTATGTGGCTGGTGCCCTAACCACTGAGCTACAGGCACCACGCCAGCGATTCTCTTGCCTCAGCCACCAAGTAGCTGTTGTTGTTGCAGTTGTCATTGTTGTTTTAGCTGGCCTCGGCTGGATTCAAACTCGCCAGTCTCAGTGTATGTGGCCGGTGCCCTACCCACTGAACTACAGGTACCACCTTATCCTCTATTCTTGTGGTATGAGGCCTCAAGAGAAATCTCTCTTCCCCCTTTACTTTTTTTTTTTTTTTTTGGAGACAAAAGTCTCACTCTGTCACCCTCGGAAGAGTGCAGTGGCACCACAGCTCACAGCAACCACAAACTCTTGGGCTTAAGCAATTCTCTTGCCTCAGCCTCCCAACTAGCTGGGGCTAAAGGTGCCCACCACAACGCCCTGCTATTTTTTTTGTTGCAGTTGTCCTTGTTTTAGCTGGCTGGGGTCAGGTTCGAACCTGCCAGCCTCAGGGCATGTGGCTGGCCCTGTAACCACTGTGCTAATAAGTGCACCAAACCTCTTTCCCCTTTACTTATTAAAAGCATGAATTTGCATAAACTAAGCTCCTAGGGCCTTTCCTACACAGTGTGTGTGTGTGTGTTTTGAAACAGAGCCTCAAGCTGTCACCCTAGGTAGAGTGCTGTGGCATCACAGCAACCTCCAACTCCTGGGCTCAAGCGAGTCTCCTCTCTCCACCTCCCAAGTAGCTGGGACTACTGGTGCCTGCCACTACACCTGGCTATTTTGGGTTGCAGCCATCATTGTTGTTTGGCAGGTTCGGGCTGGATTCAAACCCGCCAGCTCAGGTGTATGTGGCTGGCGCCTTAGCCGCTTGAGCCACAGGTGCTGAGCCATATGTGTGTGTTTTTAAGACAGTCTCAAGCTGTTCCCCTGGGTAGAGTGCCATGGCATAGCTCACAGCAACCTCCAACTCAGGCTCAAGCGATCTTCTTGCCTCAGTTTTCCAATTTTAGTAGGGACGGGGTCTTGCTTTTGCTCAGGCTGGCGTGGGACTCGTGAGCTCAAGCAAGCACTCATCCTAGAGTGCTAGTATTACAGACGTGAGCCACCTGCACTGTTCTGAAGTCTACACATTAACATCCATTTTTAGAGGAAGAACCTGAAACTTAGATCAGTGACTGGTCTGGTCATTTAGAGAGACTGACAGATGTCTGGAGCCTCGTCCACCCTCAACTCAGGCTGAGGGACTTGTAGGAGTGCCATTTTCCCCAGACGCCAGAGTGCCTACGTCCACAAGGAATAAAAAGGGTGTCCAGTTTTCAGGTGACCTAAACAAGGTTCCAGGGGTACGCATGGGCTGGTGCTGCCCTCATGTGGCGGGATCCGGTGAGCACAGAAAGCATCACCTGAAGAGTGAGCATTGGGACTAGGATTCCCGGAAAACAGACCAGCCCACTCCAGTTCCTGTAGGACCGTTTTTTTTGCGGACCCCTTTAAAAGGCTTGTAGGCCCCACTAGGTTTATCAGAGAACCTTGAGACAGGCCCGGAGTTAACTTCTCTAATGGTGGGTTGAGTATGGCAAAATGGGGCACCTTCGAAAGGCCTCAGTCGCCCTATCTGTCAAATGGGCATCTTAAACAGCTGGAGGGCCAAGGAGGATAACGGGAAGGAAATGCTCCTTGCATATATGATAGGCCGGGCAAATGCCTGAGTCATCGCTCTGGCTAGCATTTTTCCACCTCTCCCATCCCGCCCCAGCTACGGTGGGTTCTGCGGGAGGACCCCACCTTGCCCGGCTCCACACATTCTGACCACGCCCCTCTGCGCGCAACGCCTTGGCCCCGCCCACCGCACGATCCGCAGATTCGACAAGCTAGCTCTACCTTGGAATTACTCGGAAGCCTCCATACTCGGCTGAAAATTTTCATCGCACTCCAAGAGGCGTTATAGGCTGTAGTTAATTCCCCAGGGGACAGAAGTAGCATGTCCTCTGACTTATGCTACTAAGAAAAACAGCCAGAAAAAGTGGCTGACTGAGCCAACAGGGCTTGGCTAGCCAGGCGTTACTTTCTTGACTCTACCAAGGCGGATGAAAAGAGGCAACAGCTGAGGCCAGGCACAGTGGCGAATCTGCAGCCTCTCAGACCTTTGGCCGCGCAAGGAAGAGGCAGGGAAGAAGAGCAAAGGAGAGCGCATCCTGTCTACCGATTCGCCCCGCCCGCCTGACGAATCTGCGTCTATTCAACGCGCCGCTCAAACCTCTCCAGCTCTGGCTCGCCTCCTCCCCCTCCGGCCCGCCCCCTTTTCCTCAGGGACTAGTCGCAGCTTTCGTCGCCGCCGATTCGTCACGAACCGCAAGGCAGAACAGCTGGATCGTTGGGGTGAAGCCCACTCTCCGGGGGATGCGACCAATCTCCAGGCTCCCTTGGCTGCAACTCCCAAGCCTTGCAGGGCGCCGGCCGAGGCGAGGCCGCTACCCTCGGCCCCGTGGTTCTCCCGAAGGCTCCTGTGGCGAAAGTGCGAATGCAGACGTTGTGCCCGCTGGGCCTCGCGCAGGTGGCGGTGGTGTTTGGTGCGCGCGCCGGGGAGGTGGTGGTGGGGGGGGCGCCGCCGCCGCCACCGCTGCGGGGCCGGGTCTCGCGCCGCCGCCGCCGCCTCGCGCCACTGAGGTGCCGCGCGGGGTGGGGGGAGGGGGAGCCGCTCGCCGCTCGCGGGTGAGTGGGGCTGCGGCGCGCGTGCGCGGAGACTGGAGGGGCAGAACGCGCCGGGGCGGGAGGAGAGGGCAGCGGCGCGCGTTCACCCACCCCCCCGTTCGGATTCGGGGCCGAAGCCGGGTCTCGGGCTCGGTCTCGCGGTGTTTCCAACGCCCCGTAGAGGTGCCACCTTTCGGCCGGAGGATCGGGGCGCGGGGACTGGCGCGGGTGTGTGGGAGCGAGAGCCGGGCTTGGCCCGGGCCGCTGGCCGGTGAGGAGGCGGGAGGGGGCGGGGCCTGGCAGGGGGCGGGGGAGGGGTTTTGCGCTGAGGCCAAGTGGGGCGCGCTCTAGGGAGAGCGGGAAGGTAAGGGGGCGCGAGATGGGCCTGGGGGCCTGAGGGGAGAGTTGGGAAGTGGAGAGAGAATGGGTTGTTGTGGTTAAAGTGAGGGTCCTTAGGGCAAAATTTGGAGAGCCTTGGGTCATGGTGAGGTGTGGAAACTGGAGTGATGAGAACCTGGAATCTGGGCTAGCCAATGAGGGACAGCAAGGGACTCAGGCCTAAGTCATGAGTCCCCTTGGTGTCCCTCTTTTTCTAACAGTGTAAATGAGCAAAGATGGATCAGGAAGGCGGGGGAGATGGGCAGAAGGCCCCGAGCTTCCAGTGGCGGAACTATAAGCTCATCGTGGATCCTGCCTTGGACCCTGCCTTGCGCAGGCCTTCTCAAAAGGTGTACCGCTACGATGGAGTCCACTTCAGTGTCAACGTGAGTGTCCCAGGCCTTTCCTTGACCTCTAGGGAACCCCAGGCTCCTCTCTTGTCTGTTACTCATTTCAGCACCTAGAATGTCCATAACCTGTCTTCTTGGAAGTGGGCAATTCACCCTGGCTCTTCTGCATGTGGATCTCAAAATGGGCTTCTTAGGAAGTAACAACCTGATTTCAACCTAAGCTATCTTTCTGTCTTTGCTTTCTGTTCTAGGATTCAAAATACATACCAGTTGAAGACCTCCAAGATCCCCGTTGCCATGTCAGGTCCAAAAACAGAGACTTTTCCCTCCCAGTCCCTAAGTTTAAGGTAGGTATCTGCTGGTCTCCTGGTGTGGTGGCTCTTGGAGGTTGTGGAAGATCCATTCTGGCATCATAGCCTTATAAAGGGAGGGTTCCATTGAAAGGGTTACAGCCAGATCTAACAGCCTCTGAGGCTGTGAGACTTAAGTTGTTCTGGACAGGAGGTACACTTTATCTTCTAGATTGGTATAAGTGAGGTGTGCCAAATGTATCCTTTGTGGTAGGGGGATTGACTTCTTGAAGGATGAGGTAAAGACAGATTAGCTGCATGTACTTATCACTGTGTATTTCTAGACAGTGCCCCGTTTCCCAATAATTAAGGGGAGTGACAGGGTCACTGCCTTCTTGGAGACTTCTGTTCCTCACCTCTCTCCTGATGATGTTATCCTTCATCCTATTTCCTCCTAGGGTTCCCATTATCCTAGCTTAAAAATGATACTCATCAGGCCTTAACTGGGCCTAGAAAGTGGATGGTTCGTAGTTTCTTTCATTCATTATTTTTCCTTTCTGAATAGTTTACAGGGTTGCATCACCCTTCTTTTTATTACTTTGCATACTTTCCTTGGATAATCTCTTTTATGCTCGTAGCTTTATATATGATCTAAATGACTGCAAAATACCTTTTTCTGGCCAGCATCTGTCTCTTGAACTCTAGGCTTCTGTGCCCGGTAGAGACATAGCTCCATTTAGAGGCCTCACAGACATCTCAGATTCAGGAGATTTAGAATAAATTATTTTTACCTCCTTAATCTCACTCTTCCTTTCATTTATCTTTTGCTAGCAAGTGGCAACACCATTTACTTAGCTACACAGTCTGGAAAGTTGGGAGTCATCCTGTGATTCGCCTCCTTTCTCCATCCTTTTCTCTCCTATAGTCTGTCACCAAGTTCTGCTGATTCTTAATTTCCTCTTTATGCTAATCTTCCTATTCCCATTGCTATCTCCTTAATGAAGACCCAGTATTCATTTCACTTGGTTTCTTTGCTTTCACTCTCCCCTGTATTTCATGTTCCTCTCTACTGTCATTTCTCTTTGACTTATTGGTCTTACTTATTTTAACTTTTGTTTCTGAGTCCACATTTTGGGGCATTGGCACATATGGTTATTAATCTTGCCAAGGCTTTGCCTTGACAGCACACACCTATGTTATGTCCATGTCATATGCTTTGCAGTTTTTAGAAAACGCCAAGTTGTGGGCAGCACCTGCAGCTCAAAGGAGTAGGGCACTGGCCCCATGTACTGGAGGTGGCGAGTTCAAACCCAGCCCCAGCCAAAAAAAAACAAAACGCCAAGTTGTTTTATAGTTCCATGTCGTAGAATTCCTTGTTATTTTGGTAAACTCCTGTTGATCTTAAAAGCCCAGTAAGAATGACATCATCTTTATGAATCTTTCCCTGACTCTACTCTGCAAAGGTTTCCTTCTCTGGGCTCCCAAACAGCCTATCTATACCTCTGCTTACACTGTGTCATGACATGATAGTGTGTGTCTGTCTTGTTTACTTTTCTGAACAGATATCTCTTCTTTCAATCTTTGTATTTCCAGCACCCAGTTCGTGGTAGTCTCTGAATAAAAGTTGAGCTAGTGAATTATTTCCCTTCAACCAGTTCCTTCCTTGTGTGTTTATTGTTGCTGTTATTTGAGAGACTCTTGTTAATTGGGCTGGAGTGCAGTGGCATCTTCATAGCTCACTGCAACCTCAAACTCCTGGGCTCAAGCAGTTTTCCTGTGTCAGTCTCCCAAGTACCTGGGATTACAGGTGCCCACAACCATACCTGGCTAGTTTTTGTATTTTTAGTCTTATTTGGTATGGTCTTGAACTCCTGAGCTCAAGTGATTCTCCTACTTTGTCCTCTCAGAGTGCTAGGATTAAAGATGTGAGCCACTGCGCCCAGCCCTTCCATGTACGTTTGTTCCTTTGTTTTGTATATTTTTGTTCCCAGGTATTGCCACCATTCTGTGGTAGAAGAATTCAGGGAAGAGAGGGTTTGAGACTGATGTGTCTATTATTGTGGCCCCCTTCTCTTGCTACTCAGTTTCCTAGACCTCTTTCTTTTGACCTCATGGAACTTGCTCAAGTTTTCCAGAGGGCAAAATAAGATGGTCATTATTGAGACCCCAGACCAATTCCTGTCCTTTTCACAGCTGGATGAGTTCTATATCGGACAGATTCCACTAAAGGAAGTAACTTTCGCAAGGCTGAATGACAACGTGCGGGAGACCTTCCTGAAGGATATGTGCCGAAAGTATGGTGAGGTAGAAGAGGTAGAAATCCTTCTTCACCCCCGTACTCGCAAGCACTTGGGCCTGGCCCGTGTGCTCTTCACCAGCACTCGGGGCGCCAAAGAAACGGTCAAAAACCTCCACCTTACCTCTGTCATGGGCAACATCATCCATGCTCAGCTTGACATCAAAGGTAAGGGCTCCCCTGCCTGCTGCACAAGGTTGTTCTCCAGCAGAGAATATAACAAATGCCTGTTGGCATCAGGCAGGTGACCAGGTTCATAATTCCTTAATCTAGAATTCTTAAGGTAGGATATGTTTCTGAAATCAGAATTTTTCAAATTTTTAGAGAAAATGGATTTTCTGTAGATTTTGTGTGTGTGTGTTAATCTCCAGCAGGGTCAGGTAACACCCTATAATCCAGCATATAACTATATTTGTAAAAAGTTAAAGGGTCAGGTGAGGTAGAATGAAGTAGTAAATCAGGTCACATTTTGACACCAAATTCTCAGAAATAACTACGTTTTCAGTTTTCTTGGTTTTGAAATTTTAAGTAGAAAATTAGGGACCTGGCTGGGCACAGTGGCTGACACATGTAGTCCTAGTACTCTGGGAGGCTGAGGCAGGTCAATTGCTTGAGTTCAGGAGTTCATAAGACCAGCCTGAGTAAGAGTGAGAACTCATCTCTACTGAAAATAGAAAAAACTAGCTGAGTGTAGTGGTGGGTACCTGTAGTCCCAGCTACTTGGGAGGCTGAGGCAAGAGAATCTCTTGAGCCCAAGAATTTAAGGTTGCTGTGAGCTATGATGATTCTGTGGCACTCTACCCAGGATAACAAGAGTGAGACTCTGTCTCAAAAAAAGAAAAAGAAAATTAGGTACCCATAAAGACAAGGGAAACAATCTAGGCTTCTGTGTTAAGGAGTGATAGGGAGGAGTGAGATTTGTGGTGAACTATAGATTACAACACCGTCTAAAGGAGGCATCTGTTAGTTGACACAAGCCAGTTTGCAAGGAATGGGACTAACATTTCTCAAATTTGATTTTTGAAAGAAAAACCAGAAATTTAGGTACTTGTGTGAAATCTCATGGTTTTTAAGTATCTCTCCCCCCAACACCTGAGATTTTTTTTTAACTTAATATATGGTGTGAATAAAACACAGTTGTACTGGATTTAGTCCTCAGGCTGCCATTCTGCAACTTTCTGTTTGTAGGAACATGGTGGATTTAGCATCAGACCACTGGGGTTTGAATTCTAGTCTTCCCAAAGGCCGATTCTGTGACTTTGTTTAGGTCACTTTTCTTTGAGCCTATGGAATAGGCTTCTTTCTCATGGTACTATCTAACATTGTAAAATATGTGGAAATGTTTTTATAAATTGTGAAGTATCAGAAAATATGTTGTTTGTAGTAGTTAAAGAGGTAGAGATATGAAGTAGATGATCCCAAAGGTAGAGATAAGTTGGGAGAACTGAAACCCAAGACTCCAACAAATAGTAGGAAACTTAAGATCTGAAAAAGAAATGAGGAAGGAATTATTTTTTCCATCTAACTACTGGTGTTCTCTTTCCAGGACAACAACGAATGAAGTACTATGAACTAATTGTGAATGGCTCCTACACCCCTCAAACTGTGCCCACTGGGGGCAAGGCTCTGAGCGAGAAGTTCCAGGGTTCTGGTGCAGGCACTGAGACGGTGAGAAGCATGTGGCTGCTACAGCCCTAGCTATGTGCTCATGGTGCCTGGGTGCCAGGAGCAGGAGCAGTCTTTGGGTGGTTCCAGACTTCACTGTTAAGCATAGGAAGAGTCAAGAAAAGATGGCTAGATGCTTTCAAGAGACAGGGAAGTAGGAGTCTTGGTTTGGGGAGGGGCAGGTTTTCAAAAAGTTCTTGATCTTTTTTTCCTTTCTTCTTGCTCTGTGCCTTTCCTCTAGACTGAATCCCGCCGCCGCTCTTCCTCTGACACGGCTGCATACCCAGCAGGCACTGCTGTGGTGGGCACCCCTGGCAATGGCACCCCCTGCTCCCAGGACACAAGCTTCTCTAGCAGCCGGCAAGATACCCCATCTTCCTTTGGCCAGTTCACCCCTCAGTCCTCCCAAGGAACCCCCTACACGTCTCGGGGCAGCACCCCCTACTCTCAGGACTCCGCCTACTCCAGCAGGTACAGAGCAGACTCCATGTGGTGCACCAGCCATCAGAGTTAGAGCTGTCACTGGGAAGAAGCAGCCCAAAGTCTCACCAAGAGGGAGTTGGAAAAAATTTTTCCCTGTTTCTCTGTGGGTTCAGCCAAATTGCTGTCCTCAGGGAACTCACTAGTTAGGACCCACCATTTAATTCTCTTGAGGGCAGTGTAGAGGGGCTTTGGATGCCGTCTGTGCACAAGAATGTTCAGGTTCCGTCACATACAGATCAGACCAACTAACTGCCACACTTCTTCTTCAGCACTACTTCAACCTCCTTCAAGCCCCGGCGGTCAGAGAACAGCTACCAAGATTCCTTTTCCCGCCGCCATTTCTCTGCATCTTCGGCCTCCACAACCACCTCTACCACCATCTCAGCCACCACTACAGCCACCTCTGCATCCTCTTCCTCTTCTTCCTCATTGTCTTCATCATCCTCGTCGTCCTCTTCCTCATCATCTTCTCAGTTTCGTGGTTCTGACTCCAACTACCCAGCATATTATGAAAGCTGGAATCGCTACCAGCGCCATACTTCCTACCCACCCCGGCGGGCAGCTCGAGAGGAGCCTCCTGGGGCCACTTTTGCTGAAAACACAACTGAGCGTTTCCCACCTTCCTACACCTCCTACTTGCCCCCTGAGCCTATCCGGCCCGCCGACCAGGACTACCGGCCTCCTGCCTCAGAGGCTCCACCCCCAGAACCTCCAGAACCTGGTGGAGGCGGGGGTGGTGGGGGCCCTAGCCCTGAGAGAGAAGAAGCTAGGACGTCTCCCCGCCCAGCCTCACCTGCCCGGTCGGGTTCCCCAGCCCCAGAGACCACCAATGAGAGTGTGCCCTTTGCTCAGCACAGCAGCTTGGATTCCCGCATTGAAATGCTGCTGAAGGAGCAGCGCTCCAAGTTTTCTTTCCTGGCCTCTGACACAGAGGAGGAAGAAGAGAATAACAGTACAGGCCCTGGGACTAGAGACACAGGGATTGAGGTGCCTTCTGGGTCAGGTCATGGGCCCTGCACTCCCCCTCCGGCCCCAGCTAATTTTGAGGATGTGGCTCCTGCAGGGAGTGGAGAACCAGGGGCTACCCAGGAGTCTCCCAAGGCCAATGGACAGAACCAGGTGAGGTTGGGGTCAGCCAGAGGAGGAACTTGGGCTCTGGGAGGTAGGGTAGGGCTCTGGGGGGAAGGGAAGGGAACCCGATGAGAAACCTGGGGTTTGAGGAAAAGCCCAGGGAGCAATCAAAAGCTTTCTGTGACCTATCTCTACACCCCTACAGGCTTCTCCATGTTCTTCTGGCGAGGACATGGAGATCTCCGATGATGACAGGGGTGGCTCACCCCCTCCAGCCCCAACACCCCCTCAGCAGCCGCCACCCCCTCCTCCTCCCCCTCCTCCTCCCCCTCCTTACCTGGCTTCCCTTCCCCTTGCTTATCCTCCCCACCAACCTGCCTACCTCCTCCCACCCCGACCTGATGGGCCACCACCACCCGAGTACCCCCCACCTCCTCCACCACCACCCCACATCTATGACTTTGTGAACTCCCTGGAACTTATGGATCGACTTGGGGCTCAGTGGGGAGGGATGCCCATGTCCTTCCAGATGCAGACACAGATGTTAACTCGGCTCCACCAGCTGCGTCAGGGCAAAGGATTGACTGCTGCCTCAGCTGGTCCCCCTGGCGGGGCCTTTGGGGAGGCCTTCCTCCCATTCCCACCCCCCCAAGAAACAGCCTATGGTTTGCCCTATGCTCTATATACACAAGGGCAAGAAGGCCGAGGGGTATACTCCCGGGAGGCCTACCACCTGCCTTTGCCCATGGCAGCCGAGCCCCTGCCCTCCTCCTCAGTCTTGGGAGAAGAGGCCCGGCTGCCTCCCAGGGAGGAAACAGAGCTGGCAGAGGGCAAGGCCCTACCATCAGCAGGCACTGTAGGCCGTGTGCTGGCCACCCTAGTCCAAGAGATGAAGAGCATCATGCAGCGAGACCTCAACCGCAAGATGGTGGAGAATGTGGCCTTTGGAGCCTTTGACCAGTGGTGGGAAAGCAAGGAAGAGAAGGCCAAGGTGAGGCCAGTGTCTGAGGCTGGGGAGGCATGGGTCTCCTGTAGGTGGCCCAGGTCAGAGGAGAGAAATGATTGAGGCAAGTGGGAAGTGAGAGTGTGGGTCTTCAAAGGAGCACCCTGGCTGGGCAAGGGAGTTGGCAAAACAATAGCAGATGAGCATGGGCATAAGAGACCAGAGCTTTGTCTTGGTTCCGTTGCTTATTTTTGGTGTACAGGGCTCTTAAATACCTTGGGTTTCATTTTCTTTCTTTCTTTCTTTCTTTTTTTTTTTTTAAATTAAGAGAGTCTCACTTTGTTAACCTTGGTAGAGTGCTATGGCATCACAGCTCACAGCAACCTCCAGTTCTTGGGCTTAGGTGATTCTCTTGCCTCAGCCTCCCGAGTGGGACTACAGGCTGCCCACCACAACGCCTGGCTATTTTTTGCTGCAGTTTGACCAGGGCCGGGTTTGAACCCACCACCCTCAGTATATGGGGCTGGCGCCCTACTCACTGAGCCACAGGTGCCACCCGGGCTTCGTTTTTTTCATTTTGCCATTTGTGAAATAAGAATAGTAGCTGTTTGATAAAGTTGTTGGGCTAAACGAGCAGACTTAAGAAAAAGCATATGTAGGGGCTGGTGTAGGTATGACAGAGATGTCATGTGGAAGACCAAGTAGACATACTTCTGTATTCCTGGAGTCTAGAAGTAGTTCTCAGGAGGGAATGCCTGGGTTCTGGGTCCTGGGGCTCAGTCCCCCTGCTGCCTGCAGCCATTCCAGAATGCAGCCAAACAGCAAGCCAAGGAAGAGGATAAAGAGAAGACAAAGCTCAAAGACCCTGGCCTGCTATCCCTCGTAGACTGGGCCAAAAGTGGAGGTACCACAGGCATCGAGGCCTTCGCCTTTGGCTCAGGGCTGCGAGGGGCCCTGCGGCTGCCTTCATTCAAGGTACCCAGAACTGTGGTCTTGCCCAGTAGGGTGGGGAAAGGGGAGAAGAGGTCCCATTCATTGGAGTATGGGTTGTTAGGAACCATGAATATTTGAGTTCCAAAATGCCTCTATTTTTATCCCCCCATCCCCTAGGTAAAGCGGAAAGAGCCATCAGAGATTTCAGAGGCCAGTGAGGAAAAGCGGCCCCGGCCCTCTACTCCAGCTGAAGAAGATGAAGATGGTGAGGGGGAGGTCAGGCGGAAGGAGAAAGAGGGTGGCTATGTAGATTTTGATAGGAAGGCAGGAGTCAGAGTGAAGAGGTTAGGGTTTCTTGAGGACAAGAAGCCTAGTGGAGATTTTGTTATGGAGTTCATATAAAGCAGTCAGAAAGGCATGAGAAACATCAGATAGGGTCATCCATGCATTTTAATTGTGGTTCTTACTCTAGCATGCTGTCGAAAGTTTTCTGGCTTGACACCTATAGCACAGTGGTTATGGTGCCAGCCACTATGCACCAAGGCTAACAGGTTCAAGCCCAGCCTGGGCCTTCTAAACAACAGTGACAACTGCAACAAGAAAATAGCTGGATGCTGTGGTGGGTGCCCATAGTCCCAACTACTTGGGAGGCTGAGGCAAGAGAATTGCTTAAGCCCAAGAAAGAATTTGAGGTTGCTGTGAGCTGTGACGCCATGGCACTCTACCCAGGGTGACATAGTGAAACTCTGTCTCAAAAAAAAAGAAAAAGAAAGTTTTCTGTGTCTTGGGGTTTTTTGCTGTTGCTTTGTTTTGAGATAGAGTCTCACTCTGTCACCCTGAGTAGAGTGCCATGACATCATAGCTCAGCAACCTCAAACTCTTGGGCTCAAGAGATCTTCTTGCCTCGGCTTCCTAAGAAGCTCGGACTATAGGTGCAGTTACAACACCTAGCTAGTTTTCCTGTTTTTAGTAGAGATGTGTTTTTACTCTTGCTCAGGCTGAAACTCCTGAACTCAAGCAATCCTCCTACCTTGGCCTTCCAGAGCGCTAGGATTATAGGTGTGAGCCACTGCGCCCAGCCTGTGTCTTGGTTTTTACACCTGCGAATTGGAAATAATTTCAGTATCTAGAATCACAGGATTTCAAGGTTAAACAAGTCATCTCCCAAAGTTTACCATCTAAACTAAAGTTTAATGGTCCTAGTTTATCTAAGTCTGAACTGTTGATTGACAGCATACATGGCTGGGACACTTTTTTATTGAGTCAGATCCACTCCTCTGGAGAAATATTGGCCTTATCACTCTTTTCTTGTGCTAATCATAACAAGTCTCTTTATGAATCATAACAGTTCTCTTCTACCCAACCCAGAAAATGATGAATGATAATAGGGGTGGGATGTGTTTAAAATTGTGTAAAATGTCAGGTATTTGTGTTTCTCTGCTAAACTTTAGCTTCTTGTCTATGAAATGACACCCTGGTGTATGTAAAGATCCTTGCATGGGGTCATAGAATGGTAACTTATTATTGATAGTAAATTGCCCTGACCACTACTCGCTGGCCTAGACCCTGAGCGAGAGAAGGAGGCTGGGGAGCCAGGACGTCCAGGGACCAAGCCTCCAAAGCGAGATGAAGAGCGAGGCAAGACCCAAGGCAAGCACCGCAAGTCTTTTGCCCTGGACAGTGAAGGGGAGGAAGCATCCCAGGAGTCCTCCTCAGAGAAGGTAAGTGGCCAGGGTACTAGGTCTCTGCCCCAATAGGCAGCTTCTCTCTGGGCTGAGCCTAGTGCCTTGTGGAGGACCAGTTGCCCTTTTCCCATTAGTCCTCATTTGTCCTTTGTCTTAAGGATGATGAGGATGATGAGGAAGACGAAGAAGATGAAGAGAGAGAGGAAGCTGTGGATACCACTAAGAAGGAGACAGAAGCATCAGATGGTGAGCACAGATACTTGAATAGAGTTCTGTCTTGGGGAGAAAGGGATTTGGCCACCTGGCAAACCCTTTGCTGAGCCCACATAACATTCCTGCTAGGAGCACCTTTGCCCTCAGCAAGAGCAGGTATTAAGCCACATCTTTTGGAACCTTTGGCTCCTTAGAAACAATAACCCCAGTACTCAAAATGCTTTCTTCAGTTCCCCTTCTGCTGAAACATATTTCCCTGAGGACAGCCTAGCAGAGCCTATTTATTTTCCTAACGCCTTGAGATTAGGGGTATATATTCCCCTACTGCCCCTTCGATGTGACCAGGCTTTCCCTCTCATTTCTGCCTTTGAGTACTATTCCTTTAAGCCCAGCCACCAAGTTGTGCCTCCCCTTTCCCTCCTCACAGCTGCCATCACCAGCCACTCTTCTGTTCTTCAGTTGAACACCACTTCAGTTGTTCCTCCACATTCATTAAGGTCTTGGGTACATAGTTTAGTCTTTTCGTTCATTTGTTTGGAGTATATATTGAGCCCCTCCTTTGTGCCAGGTTCTCTTATAGGTATTTGGGATATAGCAATGACCAAGACAGACAATGGTTCCTACTCTTGCAGAGCTGGTTTGGTAGAGGGAGGAGGCTTGACAAATGAGGGAACAAATAGTATTGCTTCAGAGAAAGATAAAATAGGTTAATGGGGTAAGGAGAGGGGGCTGAGGGATAAATGTACTGTTTTCTGCACGGTGGTCAAGGAATAGCTCTGGGAAGTGCCATTGCAGCAAGAGCCAGGATGATGAGAGTGGTGATCTGAGGGCAGGGTTGTTTGTTAAGAAAGAGAGCTGCCCACTCCTACACATCCACTTGATCACCAATTGATCACCAGTTCCTGTTTTGCCTCCTGAATGCTGCTTGAATTTATCACCCCCTTTGTTCTTGCTATGCTGCCTTTCTCACTTAGATTCTTAACAGCTGTCTTGACTGATCTCCATCTCTTTTTCCAGCTTTCTCCCTCTTTTCCAGTCCATTTTCCAAACCGCTGATAATAATTCTTTTCTAAAATCCACACCTGACCCTGTAACCTCCCTTCATAAAGTTTTTGCTAGCTCCCTATTTTCCACAAAATGACACCTTAGCCTGACACTTGTAGGCCATTTATAATCTAGCCCCTGCTTCTCTGTTCAGCTCCATCTCACCATCCTCCAGTCCCCTTCCCAGCCACCACCACCTTTTAGTCTACCCAATTATATTTCTCAAAGACTGTGACTGAGGCCATGTGCGGTGGCTCACTCCTATAATCCTAGCACTCAGGAAAGCCAAGGCAGAAGGATCTTTTGAGCTCAGGAGTTTGAGAACAGCCTGAGCAAGAGCAAGACCCTGTCTCTACTAAAAATAGAAAAATTAGCTGGGCATTTATGGCACATGCCTGTAGTCCAGTGACTTGGGAGACTGAGGCAAGAGGATTGCTTGAACCCAGGAGTTTGATTTGAGGTTGCAGTGAGCTAAACTGATGCCACGGCACTCTAGCCTGGGCAACAGAGTGAGACTATCTCAAAAAGGAAAAAAAAGGACTATGAAATTCTTAGGTTTCTTAGACCTTTTCCATATCTCTCAGAGGTATAGAGCATATAATGTTTTAAAGCTTATTTTGCCTCAGAATCCTTTTTCGCAGTCCTTCGTCCAGACTGTGTCTGTAACACCTGCTTTGGGAAAAGCTCTGGTAGTCAGAACACACTGATTGGCAGTGTCCAAGTCTCCATTATCTTAGGCCTTTGACATCCCTGCTTAGCCCCCATGTCTGTGTGTCCCTTTGTCCTTCCTGATATCTGCAACTCCTCAGGGAGCCTGCCCTTCAGGCAGACACCAAGGCTCTCTCTGCATTACTCTCAACCCCTCATGCTGATGTTTGTCATACTGTGAACAGGTTGTTTGCTTATCCATCCCTTTGATATTTGGGACTTCCCAGTACCTAGCAGAGGCTAACATCCACAGCAGTGAGTCAGTGAATGAACCCATGGCTTGACCAAGTGAGGGTCTGCCCACCTCGCCTGATTGCTCCTTCTGGATTTCCAGGCGAGGATGAGGAAAGCGATTCGTCCTCCAAATGTTCTCTGTATGCTGACTCAGATGGTGAAAATGATAGCACATCGGACTCCGAGAGCTGCAGTTCTTCTAGCTCCTCATCTTCCTCCTCCTCGTCCTCTTCGTCCTCCTCATCCTCTTCTTCATCTGAATCATCTTCTGAAGATGAAGAGGAAGAGAAGCAGCCAGCAGCCATTCCCTCAGCCTCACCACCCCCCAGAGAAGTCCCAGCACCAGTGCCGGCGCCTGTGGAAGAGTCTGAGCCAGAGAGAGTTGCAGGCTCCCCAGTCACACCCCTGTCCGAACAGGAGAAGTCTCCAGCAAGACCTGCAGGTGGGTGGTACATACAAAGAAAAAGTCACTGTCTCCTGTCACTCCCTCCCCAAAGGGTTTATGGGCTGAAACGCTCCAACTGCGCTGCTGTAGTGGTTTACAGAGCCAGACCAAGGTATTTGGGCTGCTAAAATGAAACTGGATGGTCTTCTCACAAATTAGTTAAGGAGTAAACTCCCAATTTAATAAATTCCTCCTCCTCATTTTTCTTGAGCCTATTCCTTTATGCACAGGTATCCATGCAGGCTATTCAATGGGCAGATAGGCAGAAAGAACAACGTTAACTGAGAACTTAGTACTGTCTTTCCTTTCCTTTGTGGATTTGTATGTTCAGTTATAGCACATACACATTTATCCTGCTGAGTGAACAGCTCATTCAGGCAGTAGATTTTTATTGAGTACTCACCACAGCCAAACAGTAGATGCATGGGATATGATGGTGTGCCCAGCACACACTGTTCTCACTCTAGTGAAACTTACTGTCTGCAGAGAGAGACAGTTTAGTTGAGTCATAAATACATAAGTAAAATGTGTAATTACAAACTGATGAGCAGAGGAAGGGAAAGTACAGGACACTTAGAACCTGAGCACATCTGTAGGCAGGGGAGAGGGAGAGATTAGCATGTGCAAAGGCCCAACGGCAAGGGAAATGGCAAGTTGGAAGCCATTTCTGGAAGAAAGCTAATCCTCCAGAAGGTTAAGAGGGCTGAGAATGAAAGGGAGCTGGGATGGCTGAAGCTGGCGAAGTAGACAAGGGCTAGGCCATGCCAAACAAGTAGGTCACGTTAGAAATTTGGTCTTTATCTTGAAAGCAGTAAGAAACATGATCAGATTGTGTCTTGAAAAGATGCAGTTCAAGGAAAGCTTGGCAAGGGGCTTGAGAGGATACAAGGTGATTATTAATGAGGCTTTTGCAGTAAGTGAAGCAAACTGGTGGTAGTTTGGACTAAGGTGTCCTACAATAGAATTAAATAAGTCAGTTTTTAAGATATGCTTCAGACATGTGTATGGCATCTTAGGAAATCTGCTTAAACATTGTTTGAAAATCTGTGGTCTGAAGTAGGATCACAGGACATCCTCCTAGTGCTGGTGTGCTCTGCTTAGGTCAAGTCCTGTGAGAAGAGGATTTAAGGCTCCCTCATACCTCAGGTGACTCTCCAGCATCTTTTGGGTCCATTAGGTAGCAAAAGAGCCTGTGTGGTCATGGGCAGGTTAGAGGGTATCAGTCTTAGTACTCTTTCATTCTCAGTGGTGGGGAGGGGGGAAGGGGACATGGCCATATTTGCATTTCAGAAAGACTGTTCTGAGAGATTTGGAAGAGGTGAGGAGGGAAATGGGGTGACATTTAGGAGCTTTGAAGGGGTGTTGCTAAGATACAAAGGCATGAACCAAACAAGGTGGTTGTAATGAGGTTCAGGGGAGTGGGATAGGAATGAGTATGAAGAGTTTAGAGAAATTTAGGAAACAAAAAGACTTGGTTAAACTGCCTACCAGGAAGGAGAACCAGGATTAAGAAATAAACTGTTGGCTCGGCGCCTATAGCTCAAC